GTGTAGTCCAAGGCCTGTCGGGTTGCCGACATCAATGTCGGATCTTCCTCCCCCGACAGCTCGTCCTCCACGGAGTGCTGAGCCATTGTCTTCTTCATTGCCATGATCGTGGGTCTCGTCGATGTCGATCTCGGGCTTCGAAAGGATGTTCACTTGAGCTGTCTCTTGGGCTGCATGATCGTTCTGAATCAAGTCTGTGGGATGCTGGAACTCTGTTTGTTTCTTTGGTGTCTCCTCATTCTGAATTCTGCTCTCATGCACGTGGTGGGTCGACTTGTGGTGTGTGTTTGTGTTCTTTGAGGTTGAATGAAACACTTCACCCTTTTCATCATCAAAATCAACCTTCAACAAATCCCTAACACTCACACAGATCAAACGCCGTCGAACCTTCCGCAAATCGAGTTCTTGTCTAGCCCCGTGGAACCACAGTTTCCCCCTATAGGAATCAATTACCCCCTTCATTCCTTGAACAATTGCGTTTGACAACAAGAACGGTGTGCTTCCGGGCACGATCTCGACGCGAAGCCATCCTCTGCCTTTTCTCTGCAAAAACAAAGCTTCTTGAGATTGGAGCGCGCCGCTGTTTCCAAACTTGAACACACAACTTGAGGGGCCCCTCTTTACCTTGACCCCCTTCAAAGCTTGAACCAAACCATCAACCCTGCGACTCCCTATCACAGTTCGGCTCGCTCCGGTGTCCAAGATGGCTTCGTCGGAAGCTTCTTCCATCATCTGCCCCAGTCCAGTCTGGTCATGGACATTCAAGGCTGGAAGGATCGGTGAGGAGGCTTTCTCAAAATTGATTCGCGTCTTGGCTGAAGGTGTAACTTCAAATTGCCCCGGCCTCTGAGCGACTTTGAGGGCTGATCGAAGGTCGTTTCCAAAAAAACCCACTGTCCCAAACAGTAAAGATCTGATCTCCCCCGTGTGTCCTCTGAGTCTCAAGTCCCTTCCAAGCGACCGGTGCGATCGAACCTACCACCCTACCAAACTCTTTACTCAAAAGGGAACAAGGCTCATAGTCCTGGACGTCGTCCGGCAAGGTGTCCATGAGTTCCGGATCCTGCTCCGGTTCATAGGGTGTCTCCGCCATGGTGGTGGTCTCGGCCTGTCGCTCAAAGCGCTGAGGACATTCTCTCTTCCAATGTCCAGGCTTGGAGCAAATGCGACAGGTTGAGTTCGCAATCCTCTCAGCAAGTGTCTTTCGAGGCGGAGTCCATGAGTTCTTCCATGACCCCTTCTTTCCTTTGCCCTTGTTCTGCTGGTTGCCACCTTTACCCTGACCTGGTGGCCAGAATCCTCGTTGGCGAACTCGTTCACGAAGTCGGGCACGGGCTTCTTGATATGCCGAGAAACAACTTGCTAGTTGACTTGACTCCTGAACAGCATTGATCACCTCTTCTTCAAATTCGGCCACGAACACTGCGTCTTCGTCTCCTTGATCTTGTAGGAGCTGGAAGGCCTGTTCCTCCTGCTGTTCATCAGGAGGTTCAAAAGTCACCATGGTATCTTCCTCATCGGGCGTCTCCGTGATGTTCACGTCATAGGTCTTGTTCTTGGGCTTTGCTTGTCCATGAAGATCCGTAAAGAACTTCGATCCCAGAAGACGAACTCGGTCTCGGGTTGGGCCATACTTCAACTCTCCATCCGACTCAACGATGATGCGCTTCTTGTCTTCCGAGGAGAGGGCTGAATGTCGGAGGAGGATGTATGCTCGAATTTCTTCGAGGCTGATTCCTTTCTCTTTGGCCATCACTTCTTCGAAGCAGGCGTCGTGCCTGGCTAGATAGCTGTCATTTGTCTCATCCCCCTTCTGAACCGTCAGGAACAGCGCTCGCTCGAACTTGAGGTAGCGGTCTTCTGCAGAAAACCTTCCCCATTGAAGGCCTAAAGCGGCCAAAATAGCCGCCACACCCTTCTTGGACTTGAGTTCCTCTGGGCTGATTCGTGAAATCTTCTTGAATGAAACTGGATCACACTGGAGAGCTGCTCTTGGGGCTAAATGTCCAATGTGTTCTTCGGGCCAAATGCTTGCCAGAAAAGTCAGTTTCTTCCCATAGTCATCCAAGTCTGTGTCACCTGCCACGAAGCTTGGGATCTGTGCCCAAGGTAGCTGACTCGCCGGGAGTGATCCCGGGCTTCGGCCTGGCGTGGCCTCTTCCGCCGGCTGTGCAGCTTTAGGGGCCATGGCTCACTCACACGATGGAGGTAAAATGTCTTTTCCCCCAAACTTCCTATCACCACCAACTAGGGTCACCCTGAACCCCTAAACACACCTTGCCCCTTGTTTAAGGGGCTCCGCTACCAATGTGAATCCTATATGGAGCCCTGTCCACCTGGAGTCCTAGACCGTCCTCAGTCACCCCTGTCCCTGGACACCGAACCTTGGTTTCTCCTCTCGGTGTAAATGCCTCTGCCCACCCACCACTTCGTTGAGGCGGCGAGTCAAGTCATCAACGGTCATCAACCATCAATGGACAAATCACACATGTATATTTGTACTTAAATATTATATATGCCCATTATCGACCGCTCAACATGCTCAGCGAAATCGCTTTGCCCAGATGAGAAATGTTCAGAACTGACCAGAGCAGCGAAATGTTACACTGCTCACTAGAATTAGTCACTAACTCTTCCACACCAGAGTAACCAAGTCCTAATTTCCCGGTGGTACGCTTTTGCTGCTCCGGAATGAGGGGACGGGCCGGGGACAAAGCAGATTCAGGAAGGTTACATTTTGCTCAGCCTGAATGTCTAAAAGTCAAAAGTCTGAAGCTTCGGTTGGAAGGCGGCGTGCCAAAAGTTCCAAGCTCCGACGATGCCCGGCGCTCGATGTTTTTGCACTGAGAGTCGCTCGTTGTCGTCGTCACCAAGATTCACCCAGCAGGAGTGGCACACCTGGTAGAGTCACGGGTTGATATGGAGGGAAGGATGAGTACTTGCTTGACTTTTGTTCAAGTGACAGAGTTTGTGAGCACAGGACTGGTATTAATGGGTCACAAACTTAGACAGTCCTTCGAAATAGCAATTGGCGGTTGCAACCGACATCACCAACATGATGGCACCGACCCCACACACTACAGTAGGAACAAGAAGCTATAGGTTGGAGGCCATCGCTATTAGGTTGGAGGCCATCGCTACTAGTAACACGAAGCTGATAGCAAGCTGCTGTCCAGATCCAGTGCGCCACTCATCAACTTGATGGCTCAGGTCTCCTGCAACACTTCCCAGCCACCGCGGCGGGTCATGGAAGAGGTGGGAGGATTCACCCCCAGATCTTATGCTCATATTCACCTTCCAAGGCTGTGAAGAATTTGGCCCTGGTAAGCTCCATTGCTTGTGCAGTCAGTGCGGACATGTTGGGATGCGAAGGCTCAAAAGGGGAATAGCTCTAGGGGAATTTGTGAGTGGAAGAAAAACATATCCTCAGGGTGCAAGACAAACGGGTACAGTAGATGATTTGTTCTCAATATTCTATTTGCACCAGGATGACTACACGTATACTACAATTATTAGATATTACAAGAGCAATACAGTATTGTGAATTTATTTATGCATAGTTATTCTAATCGTGTACGTATCATATATATATATATCCGGACTTCATATTTGACAACCCAGTGTCGCCAGGTGACTCGCGCGCTAAAGAGTCACGGTATTTCTTGGCGCAAGATGGACGAGTATGTCGTGCCGCTCTCAGAGACATGAAGAGCCTTGTAAAAGTGCTGAGACTCTGTGCATGTCTTGATTGACAGCCTTGTTCTGCCTGCAAATGTTCTGTATAGCTCTGGAAAGGTTTCGACCACATTGTGAACCTGTATTTTCCAGAGGGTTCCGACTTGTCAAAGCCCTTTGGTCGGGTGCTGCTCGCATCTCAGGTCCGCTGCCAGAACCACAAAGTGCGGTTCCAGGCCAGAGTGACGGGACACCCGCTCTCAGTGCACACTGGCCCCCGATCGGTCGTTCTATTTTCGGTTCAATCTACAATGAGCATGGATTCCTGTCCTTCCTCATTTTCCTGCCTGGACCCCGCAAACGGATGTGTTTTTTTTCCTTCCTACAATCCAATGGGTTGGTGGCGGTTTATTGTTTCATTGATGGGTTGTTTGATGTTGTTTGATCAGCTTGAGCATCTCCTGTCACAGTTGAAGAGTTGACTGCGGTCTGACGCGTGTAACTTCTATACATGCAAGTCATGGAATCATTCACACCAGCAGTTCTTGAGACAATCTAGTTAGAGGCAATCAGCCGGATATGGCCGCCAGCTTCCTCCAGAGCTTTCAGCCTCTGACTGAGCCCTGCATGGAATTCAGGCAGAGATTCTGGAGGCGGAACAAGGACAGCGCAAGACTTAGCTCAATATAAGCTGAGCACCGGCCTTCCAGCTACGTTGCACGTAGCCTAGAGCAGTTGGAGCGTAGCTTTTCAGGGTGTTAAAGCCCTACTGTAAGTATTTTTGAGTTGATTCTGTGTTGTGACATTCATGCTCAGAAGCATCCTTGTGACTACTTTTGATTTAGCGGTTTGCTTCGATATTCGCGCCACGCTGCTGCGCAGCTGGGTCCGCCCGCATCGGGAGAAACGTTTGATCGTTTCCATCGAGACCGTTGGGTGCTTTGGAAGCCCTGCATCGAACCATGTGAGTCAGAGACAAAACTATGGTCGGGGGTCTACTCAGCTTGACCTTGGTCATGGAAAGAGTTCGGGAAAGAGTGCGGATCCTTGCCGGCGTTGCTGCTTCTGGCTTGCTGGTCTGGTCTTCTGCTGCTGCTGCTGCTGCTGCTGGCGGCCGTGGTATCAGCAGGGCAGTCGTATAGTGTATGTAGTTGTACTGGTGGTGGCACGTGGTCGTAGTTGTAGTCGTGGTAGGAGTCATTGTCGTTGACGTCGGAGCCATGGGATCCGCAGAATCCATTTGCCTTGCCCAATGTTCAAAGCCGGCAAACGTGGCAGCAGCCAAAGAAGGTGGCAATCCCTTTTTGAAACTAGCAAGGCTGCTGTTTGACACTGCGAGCTTTAGCGCAGATTCTAGACTGGCTTCTAGTAGAACAAAGCATGCAACTTGATGTGTGCGTGATATGTTGCGGAACCCTTTGTGACGCGTACTTCTTGTGACGAACTGCTTTCGAAAAGATGTTCTGAGTGCTATGATCAAAATAAACATGATACATTATATACATAGATTCCCACCGTCCTGGGCTACCTGGCTTTACGAACCCCTAGCCAGACAGAGCCGTACCATGAAACCGGTGGTGCTTGTTTCTGCCGGCTCTACCTGGCTATTTTAGACCAAATCACAAAAACCAAACTTTCTTTTAACTTTTCAAGAGCCCGTGAAACACTTGCGTGTCCCAAAAACTTCATCAAATGCTGTTATGTACGACGTTTTTCGAACTCGATGATCAACAGCCTTCAAAAACTCAGGTTTCTTGACCGAAAAATAACCCCCCAGCCAAAACTGAAATCTTGCGATTGACTATGCCTATGCGATCCGGATACACACGCCCCATGTTTTGTCTAAAGTTCATGTTCCTACAACGTTTTTTTTTCTATATTTTTGTGGCAGCTCGCCAACTTGAAGCAGGCGTGATGGAGTAGATTGGGATAGACGGCTCCGAACGAGCATGTGAGGAGGGTATGCTAGGCAGCGTAAACTAAAAGATAGGCTACGTGAGCGCGACAAAGGGAACTCCGCTGGAGGCTTCGCGAGGGTCTGAAAACTGCAAAAATAGCTTCCCCTTCGCGAGAGCCTACGCGACCAGACGATGCATTTCCTTTGCGTTGGCTGTCGTGGGAAATAGTTACTCCTCCCCCAAAGCATGACAACGCCGTGCTGTCAGGTTCCTGTTGCGCTTCCGCAAGGCATCTGGAGATGTGCGACCCCCAACAGCTTGCGGCTTGCATTCTGGGACCTTCATTCATGACTACAGTTGTTTGACACTGGGACACACACACACACACACCCTTGTGTTTTTTTTGCAGGCTGGTATAGCCATTTTCGGGAAGCCCGCGGTCGGAAGTTTGAGAAGCGATTGCACAATTGCTTGTGACCAAACCTTGCAACGTTCAAGCTCCATGTATATAAATCTCCGTGGCAAATACAGCTGGGAGTTCAAAGTTTGTTTAAAGGCACGGTCAGCCACCCTGCACTCATCTTACCATCTCTATGACAATTTGTGTCACGGGTCAGAAAACAAATCCTTGCCTATTGGAGGCTGTTCTGGCCGAGATAGAGGATGCCCAGAGACCGTGTTCAAGTTCATGCCTCCACTGTTCATCAACTGATCGTGTCGGCCCAGGCACACAGCTACAATGATTTGTGCGCAAGGCCGGTTGTTGGGGGGAGTGGTGATCCGGAAGTCGTCCTCCAGCAGCGTGATTCGTGATTCGTTTTGTGATTCGTGATTCGTTTCGTGATTCGTGATTCATGATTCGTGCTTCCCAATTTATTTTCCCTATTAAACAGCCTTTTGGAAGGCAGTTATAACTAAAACCTCCAGCCGCGTGATCCGGAAGTCGTCCTCCAGCCGCGTGATTCGTGATTTGTTTCGTGATTCGTGATTCATGATTCGTGCTTCCCAATTGATGTTCCCTATTAAACAGCCTTTTCAAAGGCAGTTTCAACTAAAACCTCCAGCAGCGTGATTCGTGATTCGTTTCGTGATTCGTGCTTCCCAATTGAGTTTCCCACAGCCTTTTCAAAGGCAGTTTCAAGTAAAATAGTTCGTCGTCTGCCCCTCTCACCTGGAGACGTGATTCGTGATTCGCGATCCTGTCTTCGATCTGCGCTTGAGGGCTCACAAAGTGCTGCACCTGCTACGAAATCTGCACTGGAGAGTTCACAAAGTGCTGCCCCTGCCACGAA